TATACCCGTGATGCTTTATGTATGAGGAAGTTCTATTGTGGGACGGTCACACAATTTGTTTTGTTTTGTTTTTTAACTTACAGAAACGATATTGGGGGAGCGGAGATTCGAACATAAAACCTCTGCTACTCGTTGACTGATGAATGATCGATGCATGGCTTGAGAGCTTCCATCAAAATGTTCAAACAGTTGTCTCCTTTTGCTTGATATGATTGAGGAATTGTTTCAACGCACAAAGCCTCTCACAGTTGATGGAGTCGGATCCATACGACTGTAGGATATATCATCATTTAGGATATGCTTTCTTTTTACTTGGCATTTCAAATCATCATGTGGGATATGTTTTCTTTTTACTTTGCAAAATACGACTGTTTTCATATTATGGGTCGTGATCAATTGGAACTACTTTTGACATTCTGTGTACCTCAAGCCCTTGTGAAGCGTGGGCTGTACTTGATGGAATGAGAAAAATTTGTATGACGCTTATGTTTTATGGTCTTTCTATTTCTTGTATATCTGTTTCCACAAAAGAAGAAGAGAGTAGACTGAGAATATTTTTACAAATAAAATCAAAATTTTGTGTGTTGATCAACTTTCGTACCATCATACATGTGGAGATTTTTTGTTGAAGCAGTCTATTGGACACATCTCCAAACAATCTTCAAATTGATGATACGTATGCACGAACCAGATACATTTAGTCTGGCATGTTTCAACAGAGACAACAAGTCTAACTGAGCTTATGACATGCCGGAGCTTTGATTTCCTCACCGTCACAATAGAGCAATTTTTTGGTCGGACCACCCCCGTTTAAAGAATGCAATGATAAATGACGATGAGGATTAATTGGAAGGGAAGCAGAGTGAGCAGGAGCATCAACCTTTGCTTGCACCAAAACTTGAAAACCAATCATCAATATAATTAGTGTTCTCACACCAACTTCATCCATGGCTTTACATACAGTCTGTTATTGATTAGGGTTGTCATCCATGGCTTTACACTAAGCTATTACTTGAAAAGCCGCAATGTTTAGGCCATCATTAGTTTTGTGGTAGTAAATGTTCAGAAATCTTATCGAGAGCAAATCACTCGTTTTGTTTTTCTTGTTTTTCGAGGTTACACCTTTTGCGATTGATGCGTAAAGTATCTTGGAGCCGTTGGTAATATGATTGTAAAGGGATTTAATTAGTTCAAGTGTTTTAAGAGCAATTATATCCCCACTCTCAATATTACTTGTAAAAAAAAATATACAAAAATAGGAAAAATACGAAAGAACACAGATAAAAGAACGTCTGCTGAAAATATTGTGCACATACAATACAATCCAATTCAATCTTGAAGATTTCAAACGTGCCAATCTTGTTTCTGGTTTGGACGTGCCAATCTTGTTTAACTTCAACTCTAAAACATTTTTCTATAATAACAAAGCAATGCATAAATAAATAAGATAAAAGAGAATGGTATGGGAATCCTTCATATCTCATTCAATGGAAGACCTCTTGTAATTCGATTCTCGTTCATTAATCTTGTCGCTTTTCTTTTAACTTTTTTTCTTTAACAGAGTGGTACAATAGTACAATATTATAATTTGTGCTTATTGTGCATCTGCACATGACGGCAGAAAATGCATAACCGATCGATCTGAAAACTTAGCAAAATCAAACACATAAAGGTTTATTGATTTTTTGGTGTTCTAACACATAAAGGTTTCCAGCTTATAATGTTTTCATGGCTTGTAATTAATACCAAAAGATGCGGATATGCGAATTTTAAATTTACAAAAGGCCTCGGTGCTATTAGACTAATAGTATTTACAGTGGGCCTACCTTTTATGTATGTTGGTACCAAATCAATGCATAAGCCCACCGCCCACACTTTATCTGTGTTTTTATTTTTTATCAAACACTTATGTGTGTTGGTATGTAGGATTATTACTCCCTAGCACTTATGCATGTCGGTACCGAACCTCTGTACATAGTAGTACCCACCAACTAACACTGATATTGTCCCCAACTTAACCACCTAAAATCCAATAAATTGGTCAAGCCCGATAGACCTTTATTATAGGTGTGGGGTTTTTCCTAAAGGCCTTGGTGCTATTATCAATCAAACCCTTATATTTAAGGTGTAAATTACTGTTATAGTTCCCCGATGTGAGACTATAAAAACGAATAAAGCGGTAATTATTCAACAAGTCCCCGTGTAGCTGACTTGGTAATTCTCTAAGTTCTTAACCTTGTTTGTTTAGCCTCATGGACTCATGACATGCGGCCCAGCCCAGGCTTCCCCATTGTTTTTTATTTGTTTCTTTCTTCTTCTTTCGTTTTTTTTTTCTTTCTTCCAAGTTGGTAATGATGTAATCCATCAATAATAAAGTAGAAATTGTATTTCTAGTTGATTTTGTGTTTTAATTATCAAATTTTGAGGCTAAAGGTTGTATCGTAGATAATCAACTATGTCAATAAATGGAATCAATGCTCAAGATTTTCTTCTCATATATCTCATTCATATCTCAATTCCAAAATACTAAATATGTGTCAGTGATAATATTATATGAGCAGCTTAAATTCCTCCTGAGAGTTTGAGTAGATGAAACTCCACCTTTTAAAGAGGTGATCGAAGAGACTCATCATGCTTCTTCTTCAAGTTCAATTTAACTTGAGCAACTTAAATTCCAACTGAAACTCACAGGAGAGTTTTGGGCCTCTTGCTCAATAAACGAACAATTGTTAAGCTTGGTTCAAATAGAAGACTAAACTCGGCCCGATTAACAAAAAAAGAGATTAAAAGGTGGGTTTACAATATTATTAGAAGGCCCATTTTGTAATTTTTCTTTTTCTTTTTCTTTTCCTATAGAGAGAGAGGAAAGAGATGCCTGAGAAATGAGGGAGAGGTTGGGGGAAGAAAAGAGGGAGAAAATATAAAACTATTTAAAAACATAATTGTTCAGTAGTTTTTTGTAGTCAACTCTACGTGGGCGTGGGCACGAGTGGGTTTGAAACGGCAGTGGGTTCTTCCCTTTACCGTACCAAACCTTTCAGTAGAGCAATTTGTCTTTCGTTAACCAACCATTAAGCCCTTTAACCGTTGGCATTGCGGGATCTAGCCATATTTTGGGTAGGCAGTTGTCTACCCGATAATTGTTAGGAAATAAAAATCGGTAGATATAAAGCAACAAGACCAAGGAAAAGAGAAAGGGAAGAAGGAAAAAAAAAAAAAAAAGAGAGAGAAGGGATAGCAAAAAAATAAGGGGTAGGGGGGAGGGAAGAGAGAGGGAGGAGAGAGGGACAAAAGTGGCAGGGAGTTACGTAATTAGATATGAGTGGTATTGGACTCTATAATTATTTTGGACTGGGTAAAATTGTTTGGACACCCAATTTTTTTTTACACTCAAGCCCAATTTCTTGTGCACTGGAGCCTAGTCTTCTAGCAATATATGCTAATTGTTTTTACATGTATTAATGGTTTTTTTAATCAAAATGCATTTGATTCATTTTTTTCTTCTTCTTATTTGATGGATGATTATAACATGATGGATACAATATCAATTTTTCTATTATATTAATTTAATCATCGTATCGGTGCCATACGCATACTAGTTTTTGAAAATTTTCCGTATTAGCGTATCCTTACCCGTACCCGTATCCATACAACGTATAAGTTCTGCCTACTCAACTTCCAAATTCCGGATCCGCTACTGACCATTGGGGTTACACATTGTTCGGCTGGGCTGATGCCCGTTTCTAATTATTCAAATTCTTTCTTCTATACGTTTCTTCTTTCAATTACTGTCCAGCTAGATAGCAGCAGTGACTCCATGCGGCTTCTTCACTTTCATGGTAGTGACAAAGTTGGGGAAAATAAACACTATTCATAGGTTCACTTTAAAATTTTCATATATACCCTAGCTTATTACTTGAAAAGCCGCAATGTTTAGGCCATCATTAGTTTTGTGGTTGTAAAGGTTCAGAAATCTTATCGAGAGCAAAATGATTGCAGGCTTCTCGTTTTGTTTTTCTTGTTCTTCTACTCCTCTTGTTTTCGGGGTTATACCTTTTGCCTTGAGTGGCCAAGGATCCTCCATTCTTTTCATCCTTAGTTTTTCGATGGAAGTGCAAAAATATAATGAATTGGTATAGTTGTTAGTAACGATTCGATACCTCTTGTATGATGCGCTTTGAAAGAGTATCATAAGCAATCACAACTTTTGCCGTTTGTCTTTGGGTCTCTAGTTAAATTCAACGGTGTAGTAAGTAATCTCATTTTGTGAAAAGAAAATTTAATATGTAATTTAATACGAAAATATACGGATATCCAAATAAAAAATTTACAAAAGGCCTCGGTGTTATTTGATTAATATTATTTATAGTGGGCCTATCTTTTATGCCATGTTGGTACCGAATCAATGCATAGGCCCACCACCCACACTTTATCTGTGTTTTTTTTTTTTTTTTTTATCGAACACTTGTGTATTTTGGTATGTAGGATTATCCCACTAGCACTTATGCATGTCGGTACCGAACCTTTACATAGTACCCACCAACTAGCACCGATATTGTCCCCAACTTAGCCACCTAAGTCCAATAGATTGGTCAAGCCCAATAGACCTTTATTATAGGTGTGGGGTTTTCCCTAAAGGCCTTGGTGCTATTATCAATCAAACCCCTATATTTAAGGTGTAAATTACTGTTATAATTCTCCGATGTGGGACTGTATAAAAACAAATAAAGCAGTAATTAATCAACAACTCCCCGTGTAACTGACTTGCTAACTCGCTAAGTTCTTAAGCTTGCTGTCGTTAGTTCTAGCCCCACAATGATCGACGTGTATAGTTTTTTGAAAATGCTTGTTTTAGCCATGATCATGGGCTCATGCCATGCGGCTTCTCTGTTACAACTTCCTCTTTTTTTTTTCTTTCTTCTTCTTCGTTTTTTTTTTCTTTCTTCTGACAAGTTGGTAATGATATAATCTATCAAAAATGAAGTAGAAGTTGACATACTTAACATTCACAATGTGGCTACATTGAGAGCTCAAGGAGCCTGTCATGATATGAGTCAGTCAAAGGCATGAGAATCCATAAATATCAATAAGTTGCCGATTCAACCTAAGATAGGGGCTGTTATCACCCCAAGCTGACAATAAACCAAAAGAAATTCAAGCCAAGAACACGGTTCTGTTTTCATGAAATTCAAGCCGAGTGCATGTACTTAAGCCATTAGAATCAAAAGGAAGATGGGGCACTTCTCCTCCGATTGAGAATGGTGCTGGGCCGAGCACCACTTCTGGAGCAGCGTTCAGATCAACCCCAAAGGTGACATTTCCATGTGCATGACTCCCAATGAAATGAGGATCTTGAGTGTATCTCTTCTGTGTGTGATCCCTTCTCCTGGTCTCACCATAGTGTATTTATTTATTGAGGGGAAGCTGCAGATTTAGGTATTTATAGTTTTAGAATACTCGAATTAACCCAGTAGAATTCGTTATAGTAGCATTTGAAGGTGAGATCAGGCAATGAGGAATTCAACAAAAGATTTTAGTTGTTTTGGTTGGTTCGTGTCGAGACTGTTTTATCCCTTTTTCTTCTAAAGTTGTTCATGGACACGATTACTCATTTATTTTCTCTACTCTTTAGTTAATCTCAGGTGTTAATAAGAAATCTGCTTTTTGCATCAGTGTCTTCTCTCCTTAAGTTAATGTAGACACGAACTTAAGCCAATGTTTCATTCACATTCAATAGATGTCCTTGCTTTGCCCCAGCAGCATCACACGCTTACCGGATCCCCAGTAAAGCTCCTCAATGTATTGCTTGAGTTCCCATGCATTGTACTCAACAGATGCCTTCATACAAGAAAACATATGAAAAGGGAAGACAAATTTCACAAAACTCAGTCAGCAATGATCACAGAGTAATGGCTCATTACCTCACTCTGAATTTTTGCAATATGGCAAGCTAGACCCATCTTCGAAAAGAATTTCTTTGTTCCAACAAAGTATACGGGGTCGTGATTGCTATAGAGGTCTGGAAAATCAAAGTTCCCATAACTAAAGGTGCCACGACACTAAATGTGGATTGAACAGGGGAGAAGAACAAAGTCCAAAGAGAAAAATAAATTTTCTTTACCTGGAATAAGCAGATAGACAAATGAGCTAGGCAATGTGTGCTCCCCATTCCTGAAGTATATAGCATGACATACAAGCAATAGGAATATGCAAGAATAGACTAGACAGATATGATAACAAAATTGAACACAGTTCCTTAACAGGTCCAACCATCTAGTGCAGTGGAGCTATTATATTAGCTTGGTACCTTATTCCTGCAAGCAATTCCAAGAATCTTGCTGTACCATCCTCCACACCAGGCATGCCAGGA